CTTGGGATATGAGATATTTTTGTAGCCATTCGTGGTGAAGGCATCTGTGCTATTGTATGCATTATTTTGGACCCAACATTTATACAGGCATGGCAGAATATGGCACTATTTTCACATGAATATTCCATTGTCTATTTGTATACCACGAGCTGCAAAATGACCGCCTAACCCACTGTACAGGCGGTTACTTGTTTAGACATACCTGGGCAGGCTCTGTTTTGCCGTGGTATCCTGGCACCTGCGGGCCGCAGAGGGGCGGCGTAGTTTCGGGCGACGAAGACTGCTGCTCCGGGGGCGAGGGCGGCGAGTCAGGCGGGAGTAAGCTAGTGTCCACAACGGAGGGTAACGTGATGTCCGCATCTGACCTGTTGCTACTGTCTGCAGTAGATGCAGTGTTGCTGGCGTTTAGTGATGGTTGCTTTAACCATTTTCGTATAAATGATTATCCACAGATCAGACGTGTGTCACTGCTGTGGAAGCACTTTGGAAATGATGCACGCGCAGCGGAGCAGGTCACGCGCACCTGACACAATTTGTTGTTAGTATTTTTCGCTACGTTCTCTTTTTTGAATGGTTGCATAACGTTCAACTTCCCCGAAGATCTCGACGCGAAGCCTGAAGGGTAAACACCAGGTTTACTAATCTACCCGCACAATTTGTCCGGTGTCGGAATGTCTCGCTATGTTAGTACATTCTTATAAAACAAAACACCATTTAATTTCGGGTTAAAATGTGTTGTAACTGCGTTACTGAGCATTGTAACGGGTAATATATTACCCACATTTCATTAGTAATGCGTTACATTACTTCGTTACAGCAAAAAGTAATATATTACTGTAACTCCGTTACTTTTGTAACGCGTTACACCCAACACTGATTAAGAGGACCTACTGTATCATGCAAAATGCACTTTTCTATGTCTTTTATACATAAATATGTGTCCCCGGTGTGTCAGGGAAGTTTTTATATATCTGAGACCCATAATATATGCCTAAAAATAGCATAATAGGAGACCTTTAAGCAAGTTCCAGAATATTTTCAATCTCAATGTTGTTTAATGGTGACGTTTGTAAAAGTTATATCTTTCTCCAGTATCAATAACAAATCTAATGTGTGTCCCTTTTGCATGTTGTTGTAAGTATAATTGTAACTTCATTACCAGCCGCTGCTCCTGAAATCAGCGTGGCAAATACGGGACTCTGCCTGGAGCTCATGTAGTGAAGAGGCTTGAAGAGCAGGCCGTCTCTCGCCATGGCAAAGAGCACCCGTGGCATCGGAAACATCACTCCCAAAAGACTGTGGAAAAACCAAACCAAAACTTCAGTGGGATTAATTAAAAAAATATAAATTGTTGACTCAATTTAACTAGATTCATTCATTCATGCACGTGGGTATATACAAATGGATCCCTACAAATAATTAAACTGGCACTAATTTGCCTCAGCAATACAAGACCATATATTTTTGCTTTTGTTCAGTCTCCCACCTTTAGGTTTACCCTCTAATAAAAAAAAAAGTGTTGGACAGCCCTGCTCTAACTGGAACGATGTTGCACGCCTTCACACAGCAGATCCACTGCTTAAAATGTACTGCAACTTTGTAAAATAAGCATGGATCCTCCTTGCTTATGTGCACATACACAGTAATTATTTTCAAATACAAGAAGTTAGTTTTCATTTAAAAAATGGCCAAGTCAATTTAGGTTGTTTCGTTTTAAAGTAAAGAAAACTAAAAGACAACTGGAGACACTTAAATAGCAACTGAGCCTTTTACAACCTGACACAAGAACAATGCACATTATGTTTTCCTACTTAAAACTGAACGTTTGACTTCACCCTCTTCAACCTCATGTGTAAGACTCCAGATCTGTACCTTGTTGAGAGAGCACAGAGGGATCCCACAGCCACAACGTACTTTGCAGGCTCCCAGTGGATATATTCAAAGGCCACAGGAAGAGGGCTGAGGTTGTCGAGCAGATAGTAGGGCATCATGAGAGTCAGAGCAGCTGACACGCCAAAGTAGGCCACGAAGCAGATGAGCAGGGACGCCACGATCGCAATAGGTATGGCTTTCTGCGGGTTCTTCACCTCCTCCCCTGAAAAATCATGTAGATGAGCCGAGTTCTTGCAACATATCCTTCGTAATACCACTACAGACATAAAATATTGATATATTTGACATTATGTGGCATGAACATCCTCTGTAAATGGTGAAGTCTTTTTTTTTTTTTTTTTTACAAGGTGCTTATTCATGCCAAGACATCATTCTCTCGTTATTCAACCCATAAGTAGCTTTACTCATACTTATCTACATTACCTGTTGTTGCAATGCAGTCAAATCCAACAAAAGCATAGAAACAGGTTGCTGCTCCTGCAAGTGTGCCATCAAAGCCAAAAGGGAAGAAACCACCAACCCCATAGTCAACCGTTTCATTTTGTGATGGGTCAAGATTCCTGTACAAAGGAAAGAAACAGCTTTAATCTATTGCTTTCAGTTAGGAGGGTAAATTGTCCTCAGGCCAGAGCTTAAGCAAAATGTAAGGATTGAGGGCAATGGGTCACTCATCAAAATATTTCTTCTTAAACAAAATGAAGTCACACAGGTACTCTGGATCTTATTACTTTGGTTTTGACACTGCCGATAAGCAAAGCATTTAAAAATGACATTTAAAAATTCAATGGCAACTATTCTATCCAGAATCAGATCTGGTTACGCTAGATAATTAATAGAAGCCACCACACTTTGCAGTTTAAAAAAAAAAAAAGGCATTTCAATTCCTAGAAGCATTCCGGTATTCTGAAATTAAACGGAATATGTCACTTTGATCCAGTGGTGTAGTGGGGATTTTTTTTACTGGGTGGACGGGAGACGCTATGGACGCGCTCGTGAACTGTCAACGAGGGGGAGGCTTGGGGGACCTCTGTGTCGCCTGTCAGCGCAACTTACATGATGCCGTTTAGACAATATAATAATAAAGGGCGGTGCCGGCTGTGCGCGACTATCACACACACACACACACGATCTCAGTTTGATAATTTGGCTCAACAGTTTCTCTCCATCATATGGATGATGTCAACATAGTCAAAGTCTGACCATCTTCACTACTTGTTGCTATCGTTGTGGAATAAGTCGTTTTCTAACGGCATATCTTACCAGCATATTTTTACTATGATCTTACTTATGATAGTCCTGCATGACAACTCTTGTATCCTATGTATTGATAACACCTGAAGCAGTCAGTGTCTGGGGCTAACATTTGAAAACCTATGACCTGATGAAATGAAAGACACAAGATACATTTTTCGCAACATCCAGACAAAAAAGCCTCTGCAAACATCTGTATGTATACACTGGATTTCGACATTTCAAACTTAAAGATCCACATTCACCTGGTAATTTATAATGGAAGAGCAAGTCTCGATCCAAAAAAAGGACCCGTCTCTAGACCCTGGAAATCCAGACTAGAAGGTAAGATTCAGTTTTATATGTACTTTTAGCAGTGTTGGGCAAGTTACTTCCCAAATGTAATACAGTACATATTACCGTCTTTTTTTCAAGTAATGAGTGAAATTACAATATTACTGTCTCTGAAATGTAATGAGTTACACTACTTTTATATTAATATTGAGTTACTTTACCAAAATAACAACAAAATAAAGGCTAGTATTTTAAAATGTAGTTTAGTGCAGCTCATTATACATCCAGTGAACCGCGATGTGGTATAGCATAACAACTATAGGCCATTAAGGCTACTAACAACTTTTATTACATGGCTTAGTTGAATACTCGATTCTGATTGTAAATTCTTAACATGTGACACGTTGTTAATACAGTACAGACCACTGTCAATAACTATACTGAAGGTTGCTAAGGAGGATCAAGAAAGGGAAAGGAAAAGAGGTTAAAAGACAGAGAGCTGGACGTCAGATAAATCACCAGAAGAAGGCAGAGAGGAAGTAAACAATAACAGGACACGGAATGGGCTCTGTAGTTTGTTTAGTATATGGCTGTGTAATAAGCGGGATAATGTGCAGCATTATGGGGTCATTATGGGGAAAAGAACACCCGACAGGCTGATCAGGGGACCCGATGCGAAGCGGAGGGATCTTGGTGAGCCTGAAGGGTAAACACCAGGCTCATAATCCTTTTTCCCGTTGATGGAGAGGACGCTGGCGTTGACTGTTCGCCGCTTCTCCGCCTCTGTCACCCTCTATCACCCTCAACTACCATTCGTTCTTCAATCTTTCGAATTGGACCACTGCCCTGCATTTACACATCTTTAATGCAGTGCACATTGTTTTTAAAAAAAAATTATTTTTTTATTTTTTTACTTATTTTGGACTTCTGCCTCCGTTGCTGGCTGTAGCCGGCAGCCCTCACGTAGCCATCAACGTGCCGGGTGGCTATTGCTATCTGCTACATCGCCTACTATCTGTCTCCGTCCCACGCAACAACCGTGGACTCTCTCTGCCTCCTGCCTTCATCTCTGGGGTGCATCTGTCCCGTCCCGCTGCTCACATCCTCCTGCCATGTCGTGGATCTTCCTCATCTCCACAACAATCCTCCACCTCTGTGAACCTAGCTAGCCCGCTAGCTGCTATCTGCTGCTATCTGCTGCTAGTTGCTATCGCTGCTATCGCTGCCATCACACTGCTCCCAGCCATTCCGCCTGTCATCATGCTGAAATACTCCATCTCACAGCTGCTGTCATTGACCAACTCCTCCACTCCGTCTTCCATCTCAGTCATCAGACATCTTGGACTCCTTCGTCGACCCCGCTACATTCACCGAAGCACCCGCCGCAGTTTTGTTTACCTTCAGCACGGACAA